ACTCCAATCAAGATACATACTACTTAGTGTTTATACATGGCATACTGTTTACGAAAAATTTGAATTTCCCGCTCACGAGAAAAACGAAATGCACTTGAATCAAATCGCGCACTACAACCTAGCGCACTATAACGACTCCGGCAGACTTCTCAATTAAGCAATGTTCACTCTCCCTATCGAGGTACTTTAGAAGCTTCTTTCAATAATTTTTGTCGTATGAATCGTGCTCTTCGCGGAATTTTTATAAGAATACACACATGTACGTATATCTAAATGCTTAATTATTCGTATACCTTGTCAAGTGGTCTATTCTTGTAGCCCGTGCAAAAAAAAAAATATATATTAAAGGGACCGCGCACTTTGAATGAATACCGACCTTTACCGACAAGCTAGAATAGTCTTTCTGATAAGTTTCAGCCGCACTTAAAAGTCTCCTCTCCCGATATCGGTTTCACATGGGGATGCAAAGCCTTTAAAACTTCCAAGAAAATTCCTGGAGGATTAATTTCGTGTTTCTACTGACGCATTTCTTTTTTCCCCCACTGCGTCATCTCTTTTTTCATCGTGCCCTGTGAATAAAGTCATCGAGCACGCCAAAATATTCTCATCTTTCAGCATTGCGGTGTGAACATTTTTTTTTCGCCCTTCGTATGATTTCATTCAAGGAAATCTATGGTGAAACTACTAGACCACGTATCTCTTTTGCGGTATTTAAAAATCTCTGCTCTCGTTTTATTTTTTAGACGGAGAACGAATTAATTTCATTCCTTGCGGTTTCCGCAGAGTTTTCTTCGCGCAGAGAGGAAAAATCACGGAGGGTTTCAAAAATTGGCGTTGAGTGGTTTACCATGTGAAAAATAAAGTCTGACAGGAAATCTACGATGTTGCAAACTGAAATACGTAGTCTGGTAGTTCTACCTTCGATTTGCCGTATTTTCCGAGTGTGCAAAAGTGCTTTAAATTATTTTTTCCCCCATGGATCAGAAGGCCTATGGAAACTGACTGAAATGTAAAACAAAAGCTCTGAGTTTGTTTTTCCTCCTTGTTTTTCGCATTGCTGGGGATCGTTTTTTTGCCGAACGTTACTACCTTTCAAAGTTGGTAACGCTCGGAGTTTTCACACTGAAAAATATCGTGCATTCGTTTGGACACGCGTTTGGCACATGCAATGGTCCTCACTGGAAAAAAAAACACATTGGATCTAGAGTCCAGACTCTTGAAAACATTGACAAGAAAAAATACTCTTGATTCAATCAGATTTAAGCTTAAATCAAAAGGAAATCCGCTCAAATGAAGAGGTTAGTTCTTGATTTAAGCAAAAATCCGATTGAATCAGGAGTATTTTTTCTTGTCGATGTTTTTAAGAGTCTGGACTCTAGATACAATGTGTGTTTTTTTCCAGTGCTCTGTTAAATAGACTAGGATGCGGGACTATTTTCTTTATTGAAAGAAATGAAAATTTAGGGTGAACTGCGTCAGTTTGAGGTCAATACATCGATTCTGATTTTAAATTCGTGAGTGGTACAGAACATAATGGTACAAAATATAAAAGAAAATTTAAAGTGCTTTAGAAAGCATTAAATGAGACACGGAACCAGCTTCATATTCCCAAAACATACATTATTTTTTCCTTTAATACATATTTTTTTATCATCAGTTTAAATGAGAATAATCCATGCAGAGTGTGGAAACATTTCAAATTAATGCGTTGAAAAACGCTGACTCCGCGAGTTTAAATATCAGAGCCTAACACAGAGTGGAGCGACATGCTGCCAGCACGAAAGAGCGAAGCGCGCACTGGCGCCTACAAACCTAACGGGATACTTCACGCATTGCGCAATGCTTGAAGTATCCCGTTAGGTTTGTAGGCGCCAGAGCGCGTCTCTCACTGTCGCGCTGGTGGCACAGCACGCCTCGTCACGACGCGGCGGCGCCTCAGGCAGCTATTTCACAACAAAGATGTTGCACAGTATCATACGAAATTGAAGGCGCTCCGACATATTAAGAATGTCAGGCATCCTTTAAGAGTATCGAGCTTTCCTCGCAAAATAAATCAAGATACTACGGCACAAAAAGAGAGCGGCAGTCCAAAAACTCACTAGGTCCCAGCATCTGTATTTAATAACGTTCAACATACCTAATTTTTGAATTTCATTAGAGGAAAATGGGACTAGATTTAGGCAGAAATATTCTTGAGTATGCCGTCAGGAAGATTTTATTTTGAATGCAGAATAAAGTCGCTGAATGAAAGCGTGTTTCTGCTTGATATACCGGGTGTCCATAAAGTAACTGAAAAGTGGGTATAACTTTTGAACAAAAAAAGATACAAGGTCGCGGTTTGTGGCATTCTTCATCATCCAAAAGGGGAAATTTTTCGATGGGGGGCTTTTCCTGGTGGACCCCCCTGGGGGGGGCCCCAGGGGGGCCAACTTCAAAAATTCAAATGGCAACCCCCATTTTTTTAGACATGATTAAAAAGAACTTAAAAAGACAAGAAAAATGGCGCAAATAAAATTAAAATCGGTTATTTCGTTCAAAAGTTACAGCCGGTCAAAGTTTTAAATTGACCACTTTTCAAAAAATCGCCGATGAGCTCCAAATTATCGGAAAAACAAAAACAAACCGGGAATGAAAAGTTTGAAAAGTGCTTTTTAGGAAGAGGAAAAACAACTGACGTTGTCACAAGTCTGGATGGCATTGTTTCAAAATAAAATTTCGGAAAATTCAACATGGCGGCAAATTTGAGGAAACGCAAAAAATGAAAATTCCAGAAACTGTTATCTTTCAAATACCCTCTAGTGTAAGGAAATCAAAGGTATCAACTTTTATTCCTTTATTTGGCCAAGTAAGAGCAATAATTTGCTGACTTAAAAGTTGTCAAGCGGGGCGCCTTCAATCGTTGGAGTATACGACATCACAGGATTAAGTGTGCTGTCGAAAAATGAAGCCGAAGTGAAAAAGCGCTCCTCCTTTGGGATGCTTTAGAAATGTTTGAGGTCCTCCTCCTCAAATTTAACGAGAAAAAAGAAGAAAAGTAAAATTTAGCAATTTAAAAGCCCCCCCATCGAAAAATTTCCCCTTTTGGATGATGAAGAATGCCACAAACCGTGACCTTCTATCTTTTTTTGTTCAAAAGTTATACCCACTTTTCAGTTACTTTATGGACACCCGGTACTTAAGAGTGACTTAGCTTTTTATATAAGCATATTTTCTTCTTAACACAAGCATTATTTTCTTCATGGATTCATAAGGAAATCTTCTCGGCGGTAAATTTGAGCACATTTCTGCTTGAATCAAGTCACTTGTTCCTTTAATGAAGTTCAAAAATCATGCAAAACGTTATTGAATGCAGATACTGAGACTTATAAAGTTTTGGATTACCACTCTCTTTTTGTTGTCGTCACTCGATTTAATTTGCAAGGAGACTTTGTGCTTTTGAAAGATGCCATCAATCAAGATACGCTGAGGTGATTGATAGACAAAGTTATGGACAAAGAAGATAAAAGGGATATGGAGAGATCCCATTGGTGGAAGCTGGTGGTTGCACTCAACAATGGACCACTAGACAAGGTGCAAATTTCAGCATTCTGATACATGCTGCTTAACCAAAATTTCACGTAGAACACGATGCGCACAACGAAAATTACCGAAATCAATTCCTTACGAAGATATTTAATGATTCCTGATGGGTGAATTCAAACCAGCCGCTCATGAAAACTCAATGCTCTACGTGATTCACATCACGCGATAAACGTTATCATGACAGTCTCTGCGATATAAAAATCTGACAACCTCAATCCTTGACGCTTTGGCTCAGCTATAGCAAATTGCTAATAGTTTGAACAACACATGGTGGGAAATAAACATTGCTCGATTGAGAAGCTTGCTGAAACCGATGTAGTGCACGATTTGACTCGCGTAGAGCTTTGAGTTTCTTGTGAGCGGGCAGTTCAAATTTCTCGTAACCAATGTAAAATAAAAACGTTAATTTCTTCGTTAGGAGTTAGTCTCAGTAATTTTCGTTGTGCGAGTCGTGTTCTACGTGAAATTCTGGTTAAGAAACATAGATCAGATTGCTTAAATTCGTACCTTGTCTAGTGGTCCATTGAGGTAGGAAATGGACTAACTAACAGCAACCCACGAGAGACCCTAGTGTTGGTCCATCATTTCTCGCTTAGTGTGCAGGAACCACCCATTTCAACCAATGGGATTGCTCTATGCTCCCTATGCCTTCTTTGTCTATCGCTTTGTCTATCAATTTTAATAATCAGCCCGCTGGTTGAAAATAAACTCTGTTGAAAATAAATGCTCGGCATCTTTGACTGAGCAACAGTGCCATTCCTCCGTAAGATGACTTGTGTTTATTGGCTATTAAAGGCGCTTTTCAAACCAGATTTTCTCGAGATTGGCATATGTAGCATTATTCAAAAATAGGAATTCGAGAGCGACAAACAGCGATTATGTTATTGGTAAATAGTGAGAGATTGGATAATGAACATAGTCAAGAGTAGTTGTCAAAAATACCGATCTTACAGTGATAAATTGCAATTAAAGAGCTACCTATTTCGTATTCTAAAATCGAACATGACTATTTATAGCAAGTTTGTACTTCAGAGGTACAGATATTAAAATCGCTATTTAGTGGAGGTTTCATAACAGTAAATAGACAATAAATTGACTAAAAATAGCTTATTAAACTATCAATCACTATGAAACACTATCAATCTTGTAATTCTGCCACATGGGATCATATAGAAAGTTCTATTTAAAGTGATCATCTTACGCAGAAAATTGTGAGGAACATAATAGAAAAAATCCTGAAATTTAGCCGGAGGCAAATTTCTTGGTACTCTGGTACGGCGTCCTTTCCTTAAAGACTGAATGACAATCTTTGTAAGAAAATTTCTACGTTTCTGCTCTTTCGCATTGAAGTCCTCCTTTCCATTTGTGGTCTCACATTGATTCACTTTAAGGGCGCTGATGAATAAAAAAGAGAAAAATAATTGAAACTTTCGCTTTTATTATAAAATAAAGTATCACAATTAAGGCAAGTACATATTACATAACAAGTTAGAACAATATGTTACAATTGTGACATTAATACGTTAAATGATGATCTAAATTTTGCCACGGATCCAGAAAGGGATCTTAATCTCATGCTATATGACTGAGGTGGATATTTCTTTTACATTTCAGGATCAAACTCCCTGGAATTTTATGATTGGGCTGCCTTTGATTCTGAGTTATTTATCTTTTTGCAGCAGCTGGAATTCAAAGTGATAACAAAGTGAGAGCGGTAGCTTCAAAACAATCTCATGGTGCGCAAAATAATGAAAAATTGATAGCGGTTAGATTCTTTAGTTTTCTGTATTTTGTGTGTTAAGACCTTAGGGGCATTTGGCTTTAGAACCAGAATTTCCTATGGTCCAATAATGAGGAACTCGTAGCTGGAAAGATAATTTTTTCAGGACTTTAATACGTGTTTGCTATTTTGCATGTTGCAGCACAGTCCAATCCGGGATCAAAAAGTGTTCTCTTTTCCTTGCTAACAAGCTCTCTGCGCACTTTCGCACATCAGATTTTCACTGTTTGGACACAGCAGTGGTGCCTTACGTATATGCATGTGTATGTGTTAAAAGTATTACTTTTTAAGTTCAGTATTCTCAAAATTGACACACAGGAAGTTCCAGATTAAAAGTCATGCTCAAAAATCGTGAAAACTATAATATTTGGAAAAAAAAATTAATTATCGCCGAGTTCCACGATATTTTTTAACTCGTTCTTGACTGGGACTTATAGACGTTCTATATGCAGTCAATAACATAAGATGAGACTGATGACTTTAATGTGATATTGGTGATGATATGCATGGATTAAGTTATGTTGATTCTGAACACTAGGTGTGCGGTGAATTCTTCGAAAAAGACCCTTGAATTAATGAAAGCCAATTCAAGTGAGCACCAAAAAGAATACTGAGCTAAGAAATTTGCCTAAAAATTACTCTATTGCGACTCTCTTTGGAAGTTCATAAGTTTCATTCAAGGGCCCCTTCAAAGACGAAATTCTATATTCTATTTTAGGTGATAAAAGGATAGCTCTGAATGAACACAAAATTTGGAAAGCTTAATTTTTCTGGAAGAGCTCGGAACGAACCAGCAATTAAGAACCTGACCAGCAAAGATTAATTGGATTACGTTCAGCGAAAGAAGACAAAGTTATACGGGAAACAGGGTTGCTCATCCGTTACTTGGAAAATTCTCCAGAATAATCAATATGGATAATTGACAACCAATATGGATAATCAACAATCGATATAGACCATCAACAATCAATATGGACATGGTTCCTATCTCGAATTTAATTCAATTCCTTGGAGATTTAAAAGAAAAACGAATGTAACTTGGTTCTTTTGACAAGGAGTTGATTTCTATCTTAATTCAGTTCACGGGGAGAAACCAAGATTTGATAAGATAATAATAAAATAATACGCCTTCTAACAAATGGGCCTGAGAGATGGGAAGCTCAAAATTGAGAAATTAATTCTTTGCGTAGAGGGGTTTTTATTAATGATTGTGCCGGCCGTTACTAAGGACCAGAACTTTTCCTTCTCATAAAAGATTGTTCCATCCTACTAAAGGCAACCAAATTTTGAGGCAGCAACAGAAGGCAGCTATACTTCACTGACCAAAAATTCTTGATTTGAAAATAAAAATGCAATTAAAACAAGAATTGAAGACTTGAAAAACAAAAATATCAATAGCTTAACTTGGAAATCACATATCTCAGTTCACAACTTTGTAGACCTCCTATCATACTTTATTCTTAAGCTCAAATCCAGTCAATTTAGTTTTTTGTAAATGTTCGTACATTTTTTTTCTCTAATTAGACAATTGTGACAATTTCAAACAATTGAGTTGCCTCATTTCCTCGAGTGAAGGGTGAAATTTCATGACATCCCCATGGAGATACTTGGTTTCAAAGTTTGGACATCAACTCATCTTAAGATGTATTAGTATTTGCATGGTATTATGATCTTCAAAAATAAAAATCTGAATTTTACATTAATTACAACAAAATGTACAACGATTGCGTATCACACTTACAATTTCTCCACAAGTATACATTTTACACACAGGACGGAAGTTCTTATGTACTGGAACAAAATACTGACATTATCACTGTTTACAATATTAGAAATTGAAATGTGTACGTAGTGAATCGGACTTCAGTTAGTGTTGAAGTTCCATTATGATCTTTATTTTCTTTCTCAATTCTAGAGGTGGGAATTTTTAAATTAAATATGCTATGAAAAGAGCCAAAATGAACGTTACAAAAAAAGAAATCAGAAAAAGACTACAAATAAAATTATTCAACTGGAGAAAAGATGAGACAAGACCCAATTAGGATCCATCAAAATGAGAGCGGAGACAAGTTTCGACCACTGATTTAAACTGGGACTACTGGATGGAAAAAAAAGATAAAAGTCAGTTGAGCATTAGCAGGAAAAAACTAAAAACGATCATAACAAACAGAGTGATAGAATTGTTTTTCACTACTCACATTTACTTTTGGTTCTATTTTAGGTTGAATTTGTACTACATGAACTAAATTTCGATGCGATAAAATTTTAAATTGAACTGAAAAAAATTTTCCTCCCAGCTACAATTGTTACAAGTTATGCTAAGTGAAAAAATTCAAACTGACATTTGACCTACAGGATGTGTTCTCAAAAATCTTATCAAGTATCTTAACAAGTATCTTAGACTACTGTTGCTGCCCTTCACATTCACACATTTTCTTACTTTCAACCAAAATATCGATCTCACATTCCATCACAAAAAATTTGGAAAACTGAATAAATAAACAGATTAGAGATTAAAAAATTATCAAATGATTATACTGAGTACATAAAGACAATCAATTAATTGATTAGTAAAGTGAATCGCACCAAAATAAAAACACCTAGTTTGATCAAAGTAACGTTATTACATGAGCACCATTAAACGAAAATTTTCAAACAAGAGAGAACTAAAAAATATATAGCCCCTACGATGAAATGATCTATGAGCTCCTAGAAAGGGATTATCTATAATCCTTTTTTGTTTGATAACAGAATGAAAAAATTTATAATGGGTCAGTGGAGCCTTGTTTTTAATTTTTATTTTTAAAATTCATTTTCTCGAAGTACTATGTGAGATGAGCTCCCAGTAATTCATTCTGATTTTTTTTACTCAAAATGACAGAGAAAGTCCATTTGAAAGCCACCACAATATAGACCCATTTGATACAGCATTTTTGGCAGTCTCTCATGGCTTAGATAGGCGAGAGAGTCTGCATTCACTGATTGGCCAAAGCCCAGCCACAGAAATGGCCTAGCATGTCATCCCGACTGTCAACTCCTTAAAGTGAAATTTTTCATGAAGTTTTTTTTCTTTTGGGGGGGGGGGGGGGGGGGCGCTCATGGAATTTTGCTTTGGTAGCAACTGTTGGATAGTCTACATAAAAGTTCTGCCACTGACCCTATCACTGATAAAATGCTTCCCAGCTTGAACAGAAATGAGACTGAAGAAAAATAACAATACTAATGAATAAGATTGCACCAAATACATCAAATATTCGCTGAAAAATTGCACAATATGTGCTACAATTGCACAAAATCACGAGGGTGCACTTTAAAAAGAGAAAATTTTAAAGAAAAGAAGCAAGAAAAGAGGGACGTGGTTGTTAAGATGTTTATAGAAGATATTCTCAACAGCAGCAGTTTCCTTAGACATTAAAACAGACATTACACTGCATTTGAGGAGAGAGATACACGGTTTTTGACTGGCGCACTACCATGCTAAGGAGAAAAATTATATGAGCAATCGGGCAATACTGAATTTCCTGGCAAACTTGTGAATTTTTTCGTTGTAAATGGAAAATTGTGTTCATTATTCAATCTACGGTTTCTGAAAATGTCAAGGAAAAATGCTCTTAACTTTTCTCAAAAGTAATTATCTAAATTCGGCAACATTCAAATACTCTCGGAGCGTTTTCTCTTAGCATGGCGAGGCAACTAATTGAATCAGCCCCTGCTGAAAACTACGGCCATATTCCAGTTTTGGAAAACTGAAAAATCGCACAAATACACAGATAATAACAGAAATATAACAATGAAACTGAATTTTAGAGTAATGACGAGTACAGAACTCCGTAAATTTTTCCCACATAATAAAGAAGTCTGCCACTGAGTTAAAATATGTCAAATGTTTCACAACTGAGTTTCTGTTTCTGCAGGTATTACATATTGAATTTTATACAACCGAAATTACTTTGTAAATTGTAATTGTGAAATCACTAAATAGGAACTTAAGGACGATATGACTATGTATACAAACGAAATGAGTAAAATATAAGTACGAGGCTTTGCGTCATTAACGTAACATATAAAAGGATTACTCATTTTAGTGACAATTTAATGCTGATCATCAATTTTTTCACAAAAATAACAGTATTAATTGCTTATAGTTCTAATAATTAGTTCGGTGTAAAAAAATTAATATGTTACTGAAAATACAGATGAATTTGAAAGATGTTTTGAATCAAACATTTGCATTCTGAAAATTCTAGAAAATTTGTTTACCTCTTTCCCTGTTTTTGAAGTATAAAAGTTGCCTTGCAGTTTTAAAATTCTTCAAACAGGGCGCAACCATATTTGAGTAGGGATTTTAATGTACAGCATCTTAAACAACCCACTGAGCTACGCTCTTCAGAAATTTGGCTTGCTATATCAGGAAGCCCTGCCTAAACCGAAGAAGATCTAAAGTGTTGAGCACATTGTTTTCACGAGAGACAGATTTCGTGCACATGTTGCTTTCTGATTTGCACTAGGCTACATCCTTTTTTAAGATGCCATGCCTCTAAGCTGAAAAGGATCATCTTCGCGTAGTATGCAATATCTGTATTTTGCTCTGGTAAAGTTTTACTAAAAATAAATTATTCTTATCACCTCCCCAAGAAATTAAAAGAAAATACTCTCAGTCTATTTAAATAAAATTTGAAATTTTCCTTCGATAGTCCATTAATAAAAATATGTAAAATAAAATTGAAAATTACAGTGGCAATCGGATACGACGACTTCTTAAGGACCAGCCTTATTTAATTGTTTTAACCGATGCATAAAGTCATTGAATGAATGGGATGTCAGCTGCAAGACTGACTGGATCACATTGTCATGACCAATGAATTGTTATAACACTGCACATCACTTGTATACTCTTGACAATTCAATTATCTAAAGTTGTTTTCTTTTTCCTTTTCTTCCGATTGGTGCAATAAATAGATAGTTCAGTTCGACAGAAGACAAAATAAAAATAAAAAACCTGTAATAGCATATTGATTGTTTTAAAATACGTCAAAAAGGGTAACCTTTAAAAATAAGACATGTGCTTTCTTTTCTATTATTTTTATTCAATGGCTTTCAGGGGTGTTATGACTCCTCAGAAGTTTTGTTGAAAACCATCCTTTCAAAACTGGTCTATAGATGAAACAAAATCAATTTTTTTTTTGATAATTGGTTAATTTGTTATTATGCAAATAGTATTTGGAACAAGTTACGTCAACTGGTAAAAACAACTGAAAAGTAATTTTTGATAATGTGACACCTCCTAAGGAACGGTTTGAAATCGTAAGCCAGAAAAGCATGCATTTACCGTACGTGTTGACTATAAAAGAAGGCATCATAGGGAATTTTTCAATTGAAAAGGCAAAATTTCTGGTGAAACCAAAGAGAGTTACCACATTCATGGCGACTAAGCAAAGGTGGGTTTTTCTTTTCAGATAAGATAACATATGAGAAAAGAGACCTTGGTGCCAAGGTACTTAAAGGGACCCAGCAAAAAATGCCACAAGATTTTGATGCCGCCTAAATTTCTTTATTTGAAATGATTTCCTTAACAACTTCCAGAGCACAATATGATTTTTGGAATCCGACTTTCTATGTGCCAATTTCAAGAAAACCAGGGTTGGTTTGTGAATTTTCCCGCATTTTTACACGCATCATTTAGGAGAAATTTTGCAACACATTTTTTTCACGGTTTTTTCTCCTAAATTTCACCACACAGCTCAAGTCCTACACCTCTAAAAGAAATGTTAGTAAAAATGCCAAAAAATCCACTTTTCTTGACATTGGCACATGCAATTTAAAAAGTTCATTGTGCTCAAGCGGTCATAAAAAACATTGTTATCACATAATAACAAAATTAAGCTGAATTGAATTTTTCGATATTTTGTGCAGTGTCTTTTAGATACTGCCTCCAATTTACAGAGGAGTGTTTCACAAACTGTTCTGTGCCATAAAAATCCAAAAAAGTCGACTTAAATCAAACCAACATTGTGAGGGTATAAAGTTAGCAATCTGAAAGCCATGGTTCCATGAAAAAATTACTAGATCTTTAAGTATTCATGCTTCATGCTCAGAATTGGTTGATTTTTTACTCCCTTTTCTTATTTTTAGAGACTTGCATGTATTTTTTCGTATTAAAAACGCACATCTTGACTCCTCAGTCCAACTAGACAAAATTTACTATTTTATCTTTAGAAATTTACCTCTGAACACAAGGGCCTCTTCTCTGTATACAGTCACATGTTATCAACGCAATTACATAAGGTCATAAAGCCTTGATATAAGAAATTTCACTTTGGAGATACATTCAGAGCTCTTGAAGAGTTGCAAAAAAAAAAAAAAAAATACTGTTACATCAAACAGCAATGACTTGGAAGAATACAATTAGCCCTTCCATAAAAGTTCCTTTTGGGCTGGTACGGCTGGAGCAAAAAGCCTTTCTGTTGCGATTTCATCTCAACTTATGTTTGGAAGCATCTTCAAACATTAGATAACTTAAACGAGAACAAGTGCTGGCAAGACAAGGGAGGAAGTATGAGAATCCAAAATATCCTCAAGATTCAAAGCCACTGTCGGACAAAAGTGCGACCATTCAGGCGGTTTCATTCTCCTGAATCTTGATCCATTTTATCGAGTCTACTTCGGATGGCTGCCTCGAGAACAACTAGATCTGAGTAGTCCAATTCCGATACCAGATGCATTACGGCTGACATTATGTTTGAGGTCTGTGAATAAAAGGATAACACAAACATATGAGATATAGTAATTACGATATTTTGACCGCATTTAGCAAAAAGGAACAAGCGCAATTGCAGTGTTGTAAAAATGTTGCTTCCTCATAATTCTCTAAAAAATCTCCCAGAATAGCAAATAGTTTTTGCTTCCCACCAAAAAAATTAGTAATTGTCAAGAAAAATAAGTGTGTAAATTTTAATACTGTACATATATCAAGTATTCTTGTAAGTAATGAAGAAGTTGCACGATTTAGGAAACACTGTAATCACGCTGGTTCCTTTTTGTTAAATGCGATCCATTTAGCAACCCATGTAGCTAAAAATCAGGACTGGTGATGATATTGGCATTGTATTGTTCTTCGCTGCTATGGAACTTCCATTTGGACAGAATTATACAAGACAGGTAGAATTGTTGCTTGTTTACTACAAATAACATGAATGAGCTTCGATTCTTTGAATTCGAAGATATAGTTACGACTTTCCTATTGTTTTCAAACACAAAAGGTAGAAAGACATTTGATGGAGGTCGTAGGAGCCTGTGTTCACTACAGATTGGTGCCAAATGACATTATTTGGTTCGGTGCAAAATGGTGGCGCTTTGAATTCGCAGAAAATTAGCTCTTTTTGAACTGCGTATTTCTTGCTTTTTGAGTTACTGTTACTCGTTTTTAAGGATGCATCATGTTCTACGCATAATTTACATTTGGAAAAATATACTTGCAAGTCAAAATTCGTTCATGATTTTGTGACCATGCATCGAAGATATCAGTGGGGCTCACTCCGGCACCCTATATTTAAACTGATTGAATTTCCTTCAGATTGAAGTCTAAATTTTTACTAAAAGTACTCTTCAAAAGAATGAAAATAAAGAAAGAATGTTTAAGACATATGTTATTTAAACTTACTCTGGAGGCTGAGCGCCTGCCCAGGATTGAGGCTCGTCTGGAGAGAATTTCCTGCGACCTGAGGTCATTGTTAGACTGTGACACAACGAAACAGAAAGAATTATGATACGAATAAAAAATAAAAAACTCAAAAAATTGAATGATACATAAGTTTTGAAGTTTCAAGACAAAAAGCTTAGGTTATAGAGAAACGTTGTTCAAGTTTTTACAAAAAGTAAAGGTAAATTTTCTGCCGAAAGATAAGGTCTTTTTTCATAGATCCAGTTGGAGATACTGACTACACTGCCATGCTAAGGAAAAACGCCATATGAACCTTCAGACTTTGCCAAATTTCCTTTGGTAAATCACGAATTTTTGGAAAAATTTGTAAAAAATTCTCCTCCAATTTTTCAGATCATTTTCTTCCCAATCTCACCTACAGATCCTGAAAATTTCAAGGAGACATTTTCATAAGTTTCCTCAGGATTATATATTTTATCGACGGAAATCTGGCAATTCTCGAATGTTCATACGGCGTTTTTCTTTGGCACGGCAGTACAGTTATGAAATGAAAAGTTTGCTTGGAATTACGTAAAAGTTGACTGCAAGTAGGCTGTGCTGATCTTAATAGCGCAATTTCAAAAATAAAAACAGCATTGATGACTTGGTGTTATCTGAGCAGAAAAATTTCTGAAGTTAAATTGTTTCGATATTCACCTTAAGTTATAGAGGTATAAGATACAAGCTGAAAATACTTACATGAGAAACTATTTTTGGATATGTCTGTACATAACTCTCTTCTTGCGACGAGTAATTTGGAATGTATCGATGGCCGTTGGTCGGACTTCCTTCACTGCTACTACTTTCTTTGTGAAGCCCTTGTCTTGAGCCCCAATTACTATGGTGATTATTTCCTACATTATTTTCCTGAATAGATAAAATATAAAATGTTAATAAAAAATATGAACATGCATTCCTTTTTCACTGATGTGGTTCAGCTCCACTTTACCATATTCTGATTTCAGATTAAAAGACTTAGGTTACGATGATCTCAACAGAATCTTGCAGAAACATTAACTACACCTACACTACAGGGCAGCGAAAGACTAAGATGCCAGACTCATGAAAACAAGTATTGCTTATTTTAATCAGGGTTCCCAGATGGAATTTTCAAAAATCAGCACTCAGCCTCATCAAATTTCAGCACTTTTTCAGCACTCTGAAATTTTCCTCGAAAAACCCTAATTTAAAGTTAACTACTGAGATTTTAACGGTCAAAACCCACAACTAGCTGCAGATCCGATAATTTCGCCTGTCTCACTTGCCAAACAGAGCACAGAAGCACACAACCACACAACCTGGCTGGGAACGTCATGCTTGCGCAGAGAGCAGCACTGATGTCACGTCTCTGGCGCTAAATTTGAATGAGTCACCTCATGCAGAAGACCGTCAGAGAAAAAAAAGAGATTATTTCATACTTCTAATTATGTAATTCTATGAATGTAAATTCTATTTATGTATGTAATGTTCTAATTACATATGTTCCCATTATGTACTATTTTTCGGAAAGATATTCTGGCATTAATTATACACGTTGAGGGAGAAAAATACTGAAATATTAGAAAAGACTTCGTGATATTGCATCTCAGAGGACTCATATTTTAAGGATGAGAAGTTTTGAGAGGGGATCCTAGGCTTCTGCATACTTTATTCTAATTCTGTGACACAAGCACGTAATTAAGTTAAAATCGTCTGAATTAAGATAAAACTTATTAAAAGCTTGCTTAAAATGCTTCATTGCTTTGCTTGCCTCTTTGTTTGTTTTCCCATTTTCTCTCCTTTTTCCCTCCCTCCACTCCATGCTGCCACCAAAAAAACGTGAAAATACCGCCTATTTTCATGAAAGTACGTTTACTCAAGAAAAATCAGCACATATTTGTCAAAAATCAGCACAAAATTGGCAAAAATCAGCACAAATTCAGCACACATGCAAAATCAGCACCAATTTCACACCAATTTGCAAAAATCAGCACTTTTTCCAAAATGTTGCGACAAGTCGTAACATCTGGGAACCCTGATTTTAATCCTCTGATTTAGAGCGACAGCTCTGAGCTGTATGCTCTACACTGGGCCAGTTCTGGACTAACAGCTCAGCCATCTATCGACTTAGCATCGATGTTTACGATATATTGATGATTCTATGATAGATAATGTTTTCATCAATATTTATAATCGTAGTATGACCAACCTGAAACTTATTTTGTACACACATCAACTTCTTAAACTTTTCCAAATTCTTAATACAAAACTTACGGCCCTTAAATTCATTCTCCAATCATTTCCCAGCTCTCCCACAAAACTTTTACATTTGCTATTTGGAAATGCTTCTCATTTTTAGTGCCAACACTATACGTTTCTTTCAACTGATGTGACAGTACTTATAGCTCAATTACTGTATTTTTTTATTGTTGTGCCATTGAAGATGTGATGACCTTAAATTTTTCTGATTTTGCAATTTTCGTTATTTCGACAGCAATAACAATAATATGAAGTAATTTTGGCAAAATTTTCTTCTTGTTGCCTCAAGAAACATGTCATAAATGCTTAGTATTTTGATTTTAAACCTCCGATAATGAAATTAGGAGTATTTGTGAATGCTCAAATTTACTGATTGTTGCGTAGTTACGTAAAATTTTAGGTCAAAGGCAGGAAAAAATTTAATCATAAACCAATGGGTTAAACTCTTTAGGAGGTAAAATTTTAATTTCTTTAATGAATAAGTCAGGGGAACCATTTGGATACTCAAAATTATGAAATGTCAAAAGTCTTCCAAGTGTTATTACATTTGAACAAAACTTTAACGAGGACTTTTTTCATCTCAAGTACTTCTCTTGAGAGACAGAAACAGAGGATTTCGGGATATTAGATTAATGATACTGACTAAAGTTTAGAGACAAGTAATAAAAGCGAGTATGAACTTACAAGGTATTAAAAAATCAATTCTCTAATTGTTCCTTTAATAAGTAATAGTGCATATTATTTCGAAGACACTTCTAAACTGTCGAAGTTGCAACTTCCTTTTAAGAAAGATAAACAAAAAGTTTGATTGTTTACTAATGTTAAGCTAAATATTTAACTGTCAATCTTCCAAGATTTTAACTTCCATAACTCGACAATCTTCTTCACTTCTTAGACAAAATTGTTGGGATTTGGATGGCTCAACATTTGAACAAATTGAACATGTTCCAAACGATGCTGTTCCCTTTTAATGGAACAAACAATTTTAAATACAAAAATTTACATAATATAATAATAAGATGAAAGAACACACCTCAGGTAATGAGTGATTTTGACTAGAGTGATACCTTGTTGAGTTAGTGTAACTGGAAAAAAAAACAAATGAAAACAGATAGTTAGTGTTTTATAGTTTCTTCTTGAAGCTTCAAATATAATTTCCTTTCAAATGAGTTTAAGTTTTTCTTGGAAAAGACAACAGCTCAAAGGAGAAAAAATCGATGAATTGAAACATGGAAAACATTCTTCAGGAGCACTATACTTCTTACATTCTAGAGGAAAGAAAAGAAAGAAATATATACCTAAAAATTAAATTTGATTGAGCAATATGGTCACAACAGTAGTGCGGTAGAATGATTTTTATGATATATTTTGTGAGGTTTTGAAATAACTTCAGATTCAGAGGTGGCCTATATGGTTCATAGCAGGTTGGCTTAAATTACAAAAATGTGAATAAATTCAAATAGTTTCAAATGCTATTATGCAGTGAAACGTTTCAGAAAATTATGTATCCCCAAAACAGTTCAAAAAAATAATTTGATAAAGAAATAATGTAAGGATTGAGCGGGTCAAAAAAATACCAGAAAAAATGAGTGTAGCCAAAAAGTGATAAGTTTCCGAGGGACCAAAGAATATGGGATGACGGCTCAAAAATGGTGAAGAAACATGTGCTAGACCTAAAAGGTTGGAGGTGATTGTACCGAGAGAAAGAATGGAAGGATCGAAAAGAGAGAAAAAATGGAATAATATATGCGGTTCAAGTGAGAGACTAATTTTTATTGATCAGATGGATCCTGTCCTAGGTGATTTTATTTTTACCAGGCTCAAAGTGAGCCGGCTACTACCATGGGTAGGAGACCTGAAGGGCCACCAGGCACGTAATGCGCCGGCTTCTGCTTTGCGCAGGAAAGTCAGAAGGACTTGAAATTTTGAATACGGCTCTGTGCTATTGCACTTACTTTTACTCCGGATTCATATGAATCGGCTTCTCCGGTAGGAGGATTTGATACAAACGTGAATTTAGTTAGAGATGTCTTGAAATTTTCCTGGGTGAATTTAGATAGGACTGCCAAAAGTGGAATATTAAAGTTGATTTTGTGATGACCCTGAGAGATTAGCCGCTCCGATCGCTATAGATGGGTTGATTCAGCTTGCTCGCCAAATTCGCTCCTTGACCTTGCTCGAGGAACTTGATTCTTGTCTTGGGTTCGGGTTTCCTTTCTGACTGCTGCTTGAACTTGATTGAGTCTTCCGTTTCCTAGGTCTTGATTAGCTTGCTTCGCTGCTTGGCTGGATCTGGAGACTGGGTGTTGATCGGACGGCGCATCACTTGGAAGTGAATTCATGGAGCGCAGCGTCCCAGTATTTATACCGGTCGCGTGAGAGAGCGTTGCCGCGAGCTTGGCTGTGATTGGTCGATGCGAGCGCTGTGTGAGAAATTGGCGGGAGTACCGCTATGCGAGTTTGAACTTCGCGGGAGCACCGCTAGGCGAGATTGAACTTGGCGGGCGCTGTGGAGACTAAGTTTTGGACGTTTTGAATTTCGCGCCCGCGCGCGGCTCGTGATTGGTGCGCTGCCTCGCGTTCATTCTGAGGCTGGGGCCAATGGAATTCAGCGGAGCTTTTAGCTCCCGGATTCATCACTGTGATTGGATTTCTAATGATTATTATTTTATAGGTGAAACCGAACAAATAAATTAGACATTTTCGACTATTTCTGATAAAACTGGTAGTGACGGTTGAAACTGGCTGTAAATGAGCAACAACCAGAATATGTAGTGGAGACTAGATCTCTGAGAGGAAAATTTGGTAGAATTCATTCAGCATAACAAATATTTAAAAGGAGTGTATCTGGGAGGAGAGGGGAATTTTTGTAAGAATACTTCTGATGAACTGTCCGAAATCATTTTAAGTCTGAAAATAAACGTACCTAATTTGTTCTTGAGCTGGTTGATATTCATAAATATCTCTATCTCTACTTGGACTATCTTCTGACTCTGGAGATGGCCTAGATTGTTCCTCCTGAAACAAAGAAGTGAGAGAAAAGAGTTTGTATTAGGCTAAGTTTGATAGAAAAATTCTGTGGACAACTGCAAGATGAATGTGAGAAAGTCACATGATTCAATGCGAAGTCGTGAAGTTGGATTTTGTTATTTTTAGACTTTTTCTCCGCCAAAATGTTAGTAACATATCTCCATTTTGAATTTTGAGACACTGAGCTTCCTATTCTGGTGGCCTGTAACTAATATAGGAATTACTTTTCTGCATGCATTCACCTAAAATATTTTAAATTTTACTTTACATGCACTGGAAATGGAGAAAGATAGTGATAGAGAAATGGAGTCATCAAACAAACACTCATTTAATTTCTAAATTCAGACAGGACCTTAATCGATTCCAATAGAATGAAGCTAGACAAAATAGTATTAGAATATTTTTGGAGGTAGTCTCTAATAAATATTTAAGTCTAAACCTTTTTAAATGCGTTGATACAAATAAAATACAGAGAGCTCAGCTAAGTAATGATACAGCTTGAAGAACTTACAATGATTTGTGACCTCTGATACTGAACATCCTCTGTTTCAGATTCCTGGAATAAAAAAAGGGTGGGTATTATAATTATATATTTACATAATTTTGATCAAACTTCGATTCACACTTTTAGAAAGATTACTCAAATAGTATCTTTTGTTTGTTTGTAATTCAATTTTATTGCAATAATTTTCAAAGTAATCTCATTGAATTTTCATTCGATGGGATTATTTTTTTAAATTTTCATCAACAATTTGTGGACAAACAACGTACACAGCACTCCAATACAAGAGCAATGATATTACCATGTAACTGCAAGTTATTAAGACCTGTGCTATTTGATTATTAGCAGATTTAAAAACTTTACTTGAAGGGACATACACAGTGTTGTTCCTTTATTCATTAGATATCACTGTTTTTGCAACAGAAAAAAAGAAAAAGATTGTCGCGAACTGTAAAAGCAGCTTGCAATAATTGTGAAAGAGAGAGTATAGGTTTTCTTCTCATTCTTTTTCAAGAGCAAAAAAGTTTAGAATTTTTTGAACCGGAGTTTTGAAACAATCCACAATAGGTATTCGCGAATTTTATATGCTTTGCGAGCCAATAGCCAAATAAGGCGTTTTTTTCATTCAAAGAAGCAAAGTTTAGACAAGGTAATGCTTAAAGGGACCGTTTTAAGCAGAAAGGAACCAAGCCACATCAGCTACTGCCAAGCTATAGCCAAATTTAACTGGGCAATTTGATTTTTTACAAGAGAACGTTTGTGCTGATTCCTTTTAAAAATTTTAAGGAATTTGCTTGGTACTATGCAGAAAATTCACAGAAATTTGCACAAAAATTCGCACAACCGTTTTCATGTAAATAATTATATTGCCCTGTTGAATTTGGCAATAGCTGATTTATTTCTGCTTAATATAGGACGTATATAAGAATTCACAATGAAATCTATAAAACTCCAACAGGCTGATTATTACAATTGATAGATAAAACAATAGACAAAGGAGACAAAAAGGATATGGAGGGATCCTATTGGTGGAAGCGGGTGGTTGCTATGAACAAAGGATGTAGGTAAAAGACTAACTAACAGCAACCTACGAAAGACCCGATAGTTAGTCCATCATTTACCCCTTTAGTCAATAAGAACCACCCATTTCAACCAATAGGATCGCTCTGTACTCCTCATGTCTTCTTCGTCTATAGTTTTGTATATAAATTTCAATAATTGGCCTGCAGGGCAGTTTGAATGATTTTCACACATATTTCAGCTAAAAGAAGATCATTTTTTTGTGTTTCTTGGACTACGCTGACCAGCAAAACCCTAAGAACCCCCCCTAAAGAATGGTAAGTAGACAGGGAAATTTACCTCTGGAGAAGTATCCGTTAAGTCTGGATGCTGTAGAATATGACCTCTTCGTGCGGCCTCTCGCTTTTCATCTGGCGTGATTTCTACATTGTCCAATTTCTTTAAATTGGGTAAATTCCTAATGACGGTCAGTCTATAACTGTAAAAGTTAACAGAAAAATGAAGACTTATCAGTTAGGCTCTTTAAGAAGGTGGCCTGGTGGCCAATTACAGAAGTATGGTAAAAAAAGAAAAAGAAATATGAGAGAGGTTCACTCCTCTGAGAGTCCAGTTTTTAGATTCGAATTTGCCATGGACTTTTTGAGTTCTTTGAAAAGAGGGATTTGGAGGAAGAAGGACTACACTGAAAAAAAACATTTCTCGAGATGTTATTTTGACTTGGAGCGTCGTTTCTTGTCGCCAAAAAAAATTTTTTTTTTCGTTAGATTCGTGCGGATTCAACTCAAAATCGGTTTCTTTATTTAGTTAAGCAAGCGTTGTTTTGCTATCGTATAGTTTAAGTTAAAAAACGATGACAAAATAACGTTTCTTTAACTTAAAAAAACTGACTTTAAGTTAAATCCGCACGGATTTAACGAAAAATTTCAAACTTTCAGAGCAAGACAGGTTCAGCACTTTGAAAAAATTGGTAAAAAAAAAGAGAATTTTCCAGAAGTGAATGAGGAAAACATCTCGGATCGTGTGAAACGTTCGGCCGAACGGCACTTAATGCACTCCTGTAACACCCTTCATCTCTGCAAATTAAAATCGAACCCAATGATATTTATTGGCAAGCAAGTTAGCAAAATGAACGCCATGATAGTTCAAAATTATAATACAAGGACACAGAAGGACACAATTAAAATTGAGGATATTCCTATCGCTGAATGTTAGATTTCCGACTGCAAGTTAACGATTGATTGGTTCAATCCAATCAGAGCACAATTAATTGCCTACACCCAATATTGAAGGCGTTTCAAATCCCGTTTCACAACAGAGACAAGTGAATTAAGCTTGAGCATGAAGATGCTGCCAACTATAATTCTGCCGTGCCAAGGAAGAGCGCCGTATGAACCATCAGATGTTGCCAAATTTCTTTCGAAAAATCATGGATTTTTTAGAAACTTTATGAATATTTCTCTCCCGATTTTTCAAAGGATTTTGTTCTAATTTGATCTGAAAAGTCTGAAAATTTTAAGGAAAAATATACTTAACTTTCTTCAAAAAGTAAAATTTTCAGAGAGAAGTTTGGCAACATTCGGATGCTCATACGGCGTTTTTACTTAGCACGACAAAATTAATGACCACCGCGAATGTTACCGGCAAATTCAATTCCATCTTTCAGGGGAAAAAAAATAATAAGTGATGATAATTGAAACCAAAAGATTAAAACACGATTGGATAAAAATTCGGCTCATGAATGTTTGAAACGAGATATCGGTGCGAACAGGGTCGCTACAGAATTTAAAAAATGAATTTCCCCAACATTTCCCTAACACTTTTTGATAAAGTTCCCTGACAATTGAAGTTATTATGCCAGATGCAGAGCTCCCATTCCATGTCCGTCAAAACTTCCGGGATTCGGAATATTTTTGCTCCAATTTCTACCGCTTCATGACCGTCAAAAGTTCCGGAATTCCTTTTAGATTTGTTCAATAGTTCTGAGAAAGTTCCGGAAAATTCAAAAGATCAAGAACATCTCGGGAATTTCAGAAGTTCCGGGAAAATTCGAGAAAATCTCTAAATTTCCGGGAAATGGAAGCACTGGCCAGATGGTCAAAAAGACATGAATAGGAATAGGAATAGGTTTTGGGCAAAATTTGTTGTTCGAACCGTCAAACCCATTCTAAAAAGCAAATAAAGGGGTCTTAACAATTTTTCCCTGACACTTTCGTCATTTTTCTTGGTTTTTTCAAATTCCCTCACAATTCCTGGTTTTCCCGGTACACTGGAAACAAAACACATTGAATCTAGAGTCCAGACTCTTAAAAACATCGACAAGAAAAAATACTCTTGATTCAACCAGATTTACGCTTAAATCAAGAACCAAGCCTCTTAATTTGAGCGGATTCCCTATTGATTTAAGCTTAAATCTGATGGAATTAAGAGTCCTTTTTCTTGTCAATGTTTTCAAGAGTCTGGACTCAAGATCCAATGTGTTTTTTTTTCCAGTGTGGGTATTCCTGGACTGTGGCAACCCTGGCGTATCACCGAGTTTAACATCAGTAAGAAATTTGATGATTTTTTCTGGTTTAAGCAGGAACTTACTTGTCATGCTCGGCGCAAGGATTCTCATCCAGCCACAGGCAATGCAACGACGGACAACTTTTCAGGTAAATTATATCCGACAAATGCTGAATGTTATTCTTCCGGATGAAAAGCTCTTGTAGCTTTGGCAAGTTTTGAAAGTCTTCGAGGGTAGAGATCTGATTCACACTGTAACAAAATAAAAGAGGACTGTGAGATACAACTGCGAACGGACACATAAAAAAGAGAGTATACGAACAGGGGATAGTAACTGCAGAGTTACAAATTTCCGTGTTTATGGTTACGGTTACTTGGAGTTACATTTTTTTCCGTTAAATCCACCAAAAGGACTTGGTACATCAACCGAATTTTTTGTTAAATCTACCAAAACTGTAGCTTAATCTGAGACTTTTGGCGGATGAGGGAAGAGTGCTACTGAAATAATCTGCCGTGGTAAGGAAGAACGCTGTATGAACATTCGAGAGTTGCCTTTCATTCGCTAAAATGTTTATTTTTGAGGAAAATTATGAATATTTTTCCATGAAATTTTCAGACGTTTTAGATCAAATTACAAACAAAATTAACCGAGAAATTGGTAGACAAAAATTCAAAAATTTCCTGAAAATTAGTGATTTGCCGCGGGATATTTGACGACGCCTGAGGGCTAATACGGCGTTCTTCCTTGGCACGGCAGTAATGTACTCTTGTCTATCCCGATGTCACTCAGAGGTTCCTAATTGCGAGTGGCCAGCGCATTGAATAATCACTAATGACTGTGAACCCGGCGCACAGTGGATCGAGTCAATTAGAGAGGTTGGACGTGAAATTTTCGCAAATTTTTATGTTTGTTTCATCATATTTTAAATTTCAGGGAGTGTATTTGAGAGAAAATTTTACGAGAAAACCAATAACACCACTATTGGAACCTCAAACTTTTGTATAAACGGAGTTATGAGCGTTTGAAGTTTTCAAATTTTGTCCGACCTCACCTATTGACTCGATCCACTGTGCGGCGGCTTGCGCCTGATTTTCAACGAGGTCACAAATTTTCAACCCAAATATTCCATTAATGTAACCCAAAGAAAAACTAACCCAAAATGCTAACCGCACGTTTAGGTTATGTAATGTTCTACTCCCCATACTAACAGAAAAAGTAGGTTACTTTTTCTTTCTGTGTGGGAACCGTATCTTCGGCTCATGTAACCCAATACTTTCAAATCAAAGCGAACTATAGAAAAAGTTCGGTCGAAGCTCAATTGCATGCTTGGACCAAGGACACGGTTTTACAGAGCCGAGAGCACGGCCACATGAACCAAAAAAAGTACGGCCGATATACAGTCTTGCTAAGGAAGAACGCCGTATGAACCTTCAGGCGTTGCCAAATTCCCATTGATAAAATACGAATTCCCCCGGAAACTTATGACTATTTTTCTTCCTTATGTTCGCAATTTCACCTAAAGTTCCTGAGAATTTCAAGGAAAAATATTCATAACTTTCCAAAAAAAATAGACATTTTATCAAAGGAAATTTGGCAACCTTCGGATGTTCATACGGCGTTCTTCCTTAGCACGGCTGTACAGGATACCGCTCCCCATCTTTGCATAGAGAGTTTGTCTTGATGTAGAAGTGGACTCTCAGGACAGCGTGGGTTATTCCATTTTGGCCTCAGCTTGAGTGCTTTTTTTGAGCTTGAAAGTTAATTTCAGAGAAAACCAGTGGCATTATCGTGTTTCTCGCGAACTTTTACGTAAGAATTAATAGTCAAATCGCAAATTCCTCACACATGCAACATCTCCATTCTTGAAAATGTCCAAGACTTTTAAGCGCTCAGCGTTTATTGTTTTCAACCTGCCTCTAGAATTCTAGTATACTAGTGGCAAATACATTAGCAGAGATGCCGTGATTTTAGTTTAAGAGTCCCCAAGTAAGGTGTCAATGTATTTGCTCCCTATCTTTGCATGGAGAGTTTGTCTTGATGTAGACGTGGACTCTCAGGATAGCGTGGGACATCCCCTCCATTTTGGCCTCAACTTGAGAGCTTTTTTTTGAGCTTGGGAGTTGATTTCAGAGAAAACCAGTGGCACCATCGTGTTTTTCGCGAGCTTTTACAGAAGAATGAACAGTCAAATCGCAAATTCCTCACACATGCAGCATTTCCATTCCCAGCTTTCCCAGATTCTAGACCCCACGAAAAGGGTTATAGACTTATTTCGTTCGAATGCGTCCAAATCGAGTCGTCCTGAGCATTCCGCTCGGGGTAACAGGATAGGAGGAAACAGTGATGCAAGGAAGAGAGGGATAGGGGGAGGGGGGATGTAGAGTCGGAGGAAGCGGCCGAAAATAAGTTCGGGGGCAGCGACAAACAGGAGTTCCGAGTCCTGACTCCAGTGCACCGCATCGGTGCTCCTTAAAAATATATAAGGCCCGATGCACGTTAAAACGACGCAAGTCGCTAAACTCATGAACCCTAGCGTCCCGCGCTATCAACGAGAGCCAAGGCTCATGAGTTTTCGGACTAACGCTCTTTCGGCATCACGCGTCGATTCATAAGGACCCGCGTCCGGAACTCGCGGGTCGAGTGAGATGGTGCGTGTCTTCCATCAATGTGCCCCCACCCCCCACTCCCCCGGTCACCCTTTCCCGGGCTGAAAGAGACAGATTGAATCGAACTGACGAGACGTGAGCCGGGTTTCGGTGTGCGACTCCTGATGAACCCCGGCCCGCCACATTCGGAGACAATGTATTTATAAGACCTGGCACTCCCGATTCAAGCGGTGTAGCGCGGGAAGAAAAAGTAACCGACATTTTGTGTTAATACGAAAGTAAAACAGAAAATACGAAGTATAACATACTAGGGGGTACGCTCAATGGCCGCTACGCGGCTCAACATCCAGAGGGTGCGAAGCGCTCTCTAAGGTGAGCCACCATGATTGACCTCTTAAATCTTCAAGCTTTTCAAAATAATAGAAAAGCTTTCATTGAAAGCATCAAAACCATTCTTGGAACTAAAAATTCTTAAAGGCGCCACAGAATCGCCTGAAAGATGGAAAAAATCTATGATCATATCTTGAATTCCAAAGAATTGAACATATAGTTTTTCCTCAAGAAAATCCCGGGGAAAAGGGAGAAAACGCCGGATTCTTATTAGGCAGTCAGCTCCGGAAAGTCAGGAAATGAGCATTGAGCATGGTCAACAATGTATCGTGTTACATATATCAAACAGGTTATAATGTATCGATTGGTTAAACATGTGAACGTAGCCTCAAAAGTCAATTGAGTGATCTGTATAGGAACGGGTTTTTTGTGATAGATTTTTTTATTTTTATGAATGCCACATAATGCAATCGCAAGTGAAATGTGAAATGTTTAGGAATTTTCTCATTTTCAGCTTTTCTAACTAATTAATAACTAATAAAACTAATTTCTTCCTACAATTTTTGTTTGAGGTTATGTTCTATCGTTATGAGCCAAACGATACATCGAACCAATATCGAATATGATCTATTCCAGACATCATGGTTTAAACTCAACGTGCAAACTATACTTTTGCGACCTTTCTTCTTGACCCAGTGCGCATTTAAGACCAACCGCTGGGCAGGAAAAATTGTAACATTGCCACTTGTACCTGATTCCAATAAAACACCAGTCAACTTTTCCATAAGACAGGAAACCCCCCGCAACGTGGCAATGAATCCCATGGTTAATAATAGAAGCTTTTCATTCTCCCCGCTGCGCGACGGGGTGAACTTGGGTGGCCCAGCAGGAGGAGGGAGGGGGTGACGAGATGTGACTCACAGGGTTTTCCCCGATTTCCGCAGCCTTCACCTCGGGCGCGTGCTTCATCGCGAACACTTCATTGCGCCAGAAAAGCTCTTCCAAGGGGAGAGTGACACCATGTGTCGCAGTCTTCAGTCTCGTTTGCCCTAATGCCCCTTTTTTGCATGGAAGGAAATAGATGTATCTAGAATAGCGTAATCAATCATTTCTGCTTAGCAATGGCGCGGCGTGGCGTGCTTTGCGATATATCTATTGATCTGCCATTTAAACCTACGGAAAAAGATCGATTAACAGGGTGTCCGCAGCGAACACCTTAATAATCGATTCTTTACCAAGGATTCAAATGGGGAAATATCGATAATAATCGATCTTTCAAGCCACGCCACTGCTGCTTAGCATAGAGCGAGCAATTCCGAGGACGTGAGGAGAGTGCTGTCTTGTCGCGGGAAAACTTTGTACAAGGATCCAGCCTGTGTCAAATTTTTCTAATGAAATGGAAATTTTCCGAATTTTTTCCGAAAAGTTTGTGAATTTCTCTTCAAACTTTAAAATTTTTGAAAATATCAAGGAAAAATATTTATGCATGATTCTCCTCAAAAATGAACATTTTATAAGGAAATTTGGCAACTCTCGAATACTCATACGGCGTTTCTCCTTAGCACGGCAGCACTCGAGTTGGAATTATGAACGTAGCGTGCAAGTCAACTGAACCCCTCCGTTCATTTACATCGTAAACAAAACGTGAAACTCCCCCGACGTCACGACGTCACAGAATCAGATTGGCCGCCTCTTTTTCGCGTCGCAGTGACCCAGCATTTCGGTCATTACCTATTCATTTTTTCGGTGCCCTCGCCTCGGTATCGGGCTTACGAACTCCGGAAGAAATAACCCGCGAATTTTTCCCCTCGAGGTCGCATTGATAATTAGCGCGAGCTACCCTCACAATCAGTGACGTCGGTCAAGGCTCGATGCACGTACAGATAGTGAAACCACGTAACCAACCACGAAACCAGGTATCTTCATCGCAGCACTGGAAAAAAAACACATTGGATCTAGAGTCCAGGCTCTTGAAAACATTGACACGAAAAAATACTCTTGATTCAATCAGATGTAAGCTTAAATCAAAAAGAAATCCGCTCAAATTAAGAAGCTTGGTTCTTGATTGAAGCGAAAATCCGATTGAATTAAGAGTATTTTTTCTTGTCGATGTTTTTAAGAGTCTGGACTCTAGATCCAATGTTTTTTTTTTTTTTTTTTTTTTTTTTTTTTTTTTTTTTTTTTTTTTTTTTTTTNTTTTTTTTTTTTTTTTTTTTTTTCCAGTGTTGTATAGTTCTCTTCGCTAAAATGGCAGAATATTCTACCACCAGCGATTCGTGCCGTGGATTGCGGGTGCACGGGGTAAACCTTAAATC